GTAAAAATAAACCCTAGTTCATGAAAAATTAAGAACAATATTTTAAAAGTGCGAAACCAAATAAATAAATCCATTTTCCGAGAAGTCCAATAAGGGATTAAGCGTCGAGTCTTGGCAGCAAAAAGATTGTCGGAAAAGAAAAAAAAAACGTGAAACTAGAGCGTTGAATAAACAATGTACTCAGAAAAAAAAAAATGACTACAAATGACGAAAGGTTCAAGTGAAAGCATTTTCTTGCCGAAACGTTGCTCTACTTTTCTTTGTGTCAATAACGATCGGGTGCACGAAGCAAGAAATTATAGTGTGAAGGTCGAGGCTTTGTTATTTTCTTACGCGATGGAAATTATCGCTTAACGCCCGGCGTGCGTCCAGCGGCGACATGTTGGCAATTTTTACCGAGGATAATAAACATAATGCGACAGGTAATACCAAGTTATTAGCTACGTACATATGTACATATGTACGAGTAAGTAGGTATTTATATGCGCATCTACGCACGAGGAAAAGATCGTTAGAAAATTTGCATATCTTTTATATATCTACATATATATGGATATATGTGCCTATACATACAAGTCTATTCAAACATTTGTTTAGTTAAGTATTAACCTTTATGGAAATTTACTTTTGGAACAATTATGGGCGGGCATACCGAAACGAAGTTAAGCCAGAACAATTTCCGATAAAGAAAGCAGGTTTTTGCAAAAGACGAAAGTAAATATGATATTCATTCTTCTAACAGGCACACTATTTTGACATTTTAAACTGTTTTCCCTGTATTATGCTATTACTACACCAGTGACTTGACCAGAGATGAAAATATAATACCGCACCTCCTTGTGTACACATTGGACATGCATGCTCCTAGTAAGTTTTTATTACTAAATTTCCAACTAAATATATTCGCGGACTAAAATCAAACAGCGACCATTTCATACATTACTCGTATATACACGTATGAGTGTGGCTTAAATCTTTATTATTTCTTACAATGTTAACAACTTCTTCGGCAGGCGATGTACACACATACTTATTTATGTAAAACATGTACAGATGTATATAAAACGACAACAAAAGCGTCGCAATAGCATATATGTACAACAAAACTAAAGCCCTTAAAAGACACGCTCTACATTTTATTTAAATGAACAAAAGAAGAAGTTTAAAAAAAATACTCAATTCAAAGATACATGCACATGTACATAAGGATAAAAAAAAACATAGATATACATAGGTATATAAATGCTTTAAGGATAATGTCTATTGCTCGGTGAGTCGAATAATCGTGCGCATACCATTTTAATTGTATTTTGGTTACGGTTTCCTAGAATGACCTTGCCTTGCTACATTTTTTTTTTTTTGTAAAAATTCTCTTCACACCGTTAAGTAGTGTCTGTGCGTAAACATTTCTTTCTATTATGATATCTTTATGGGTTTATATTTTTTCTCATGCAAGTCCAATCTAACCCTTTCACATGTTTTCAAGTAAGTTAAATTCAGTTCTCCTCGAGATTTATATTAAAAAAAAAATATACATAAAAAAAAATTTTATAACCTCAGGATCTTTTTGTTAAGCTTATTTAACTGGCCAACACCATCACCGACCACGTAAAACCCACCCACAATTCCAGAGGTAGCTAGGTGCGTACGTGTACATACGAAAGACATACGCATACGGATCTAGTATTTACATAAATAAGAAGCAAATATTATCAACGATATAAGGCCACTTACGACAATAGCTGAAATTAGCAGTCACATAGAGGAAGAAGGGTTGACGTAAACGGGGTTGGATCCTTCCCTCTGCATACAACCGCAAACAATTTATGCTGGGATGCTACCGAAGCTGCCTCTATTCCATAATTTCTGAGTTTGGAATCGCTTTGTAACCTGATGCTAAGTATCATTAAAAACTTCATCAGAACGGGAAGGACCTGTCCGAACCATTCGATATCAAAACGAGATTACAGACAAGGCATTGTTTATTGTGTGCCTTTTTTAACTTTACGCCTCCAACAACCGCAGCGTTAGTTCTACTATATCGAGGAGAGCGAGGCGAATGGGTTTGATCCACCCGTCATTGTTGACCATCGTAACTTTAAAGTCATATATGTATAATTTCGTCTGTCTTGGAACCAACAATGTCAGTCTTCCAATGCAACGTTTTTCGAAGATCTTTTCGAGATATACCGTGAAATCGACATAGTTTACCAAGATAGTCGGTTCAGTTTCAGTTCTGGCTTCATTTGAAATATTTGTTGTTACTTTACATCAACATCATAAATAAATTACTGAAATACCGCCAAAAGCCATCGAGAACTGCCTCAAACGGATCGAAGTTTGCTAAGATACCGTCATTTGAATGATGAATATTGCACACTTAATACCACGACCCAAACATTATAATAACAAATGATATTCGCGATAAAAAACCAAATTATTTTAAATGCTTTTTATTTGGGTTTATTTTCGAGACCGCAAAATGGATAACTCTATACAGCAGTTTATATTAGAGCTCCAGATATCCTGGTATTAAGCACCGCATGTTTATCAACTGCTCAAATGTTTTTTGAAATATTTATAAAGAAGTCCTGAGGACAAAGTCGAAAGTCTTGCCCAAAATGCTCGAATTGTTCGAGCAATGAGAAATAAACAAATGCGCGATTACTCGTTTCTCAAACGTTCTAGCTGCTCGAAAATGTACTTTTTAATTCTGTATGCAGGGCTTATCATGAAATTAATGCTAAATTTTCTAAATGAAATAGAAACAAACGAACGAACGGTTTTTTGGCATATTTGCTTACGATAAGGATTTAATATGTGTGTAAGTCCGAACATCTATGTTTTTCCTTAAAAATGCAAATATGTAATTCAATTATCTATCAGAATTTGTTCATTTTTAAATGCCATACACATACATATGTACATAAACATACATACATATATGTGTGCATGTGTTTGGAAAAAAATTGATTACAGAAAATACATATGTACATACATAGTATATAAAAAAAAACATACATATACTTATATACGTACATATGTTGATATATTTATAAATAAAAAGTATACATGATTAACTCCTTAAATAGCTGTTAAAATCTAATTTTATTTGCAACCTACTTCATACATTCATGCATACATATGCATGTATGTAAAGCTCAAAATTATGTGAAATGTTAAAGTAAATAAAACACCTATTAATGAAATTGTAAAAAAAGGCTCTAGAGCTAATAGCACAAAAGAAGGATATTAGAGAGAGTAAAAGTGTTCTTTCTAACTGGACGCATTTCTGCACGGGAGAGCGTATACCAACAATCGGTACACGAACTCTGAGCATACGAACACATCTACAAAGAGGGGAAATGCTGCGATTGCAGAGGGAAATAAAAGAAAAATCGTTAAAGCAGCGGAGAACCGAATAGCGCACGGTGTGTATTTTCGGAAAATTATCAATATAAGAGATAAAGAAAGTGACCTGAACGACGTTTCTCTGAATCATCTAAACAAAAAAAGTGCCGTCCAAGAGCATGACAACACTTTCTTGTCAAGATTCTCATTTGTTTTCTGTTTTTTGTTTTTAAAACTACTTAACAAGAACTCTTCATGCAAAAATATGGACAAATTTTTCATCCAATTCTTAGGTCTCATAGCTTAAGAAATCGGTGTGAAATCATAAGCTACTGTTTAATGCCCCATAACGTCTATGTTACCGTCATATAGAGCAGATTATAATAAATACATATCTGGGAACATTTGACAAAGCAAAGATTTCAACTCTATGTAAAAATTTTAATTGCATATACTTCTGTCTTTTCGTCATTTTAATACGACCGTTATTTGAAAAGTTATAGAGACCAGCAACAGATCTTATTTTTTCCTTTTTTTTTGTATGCAACGAATAAAATTTCAAACAGATTAAAATACAAAAATAAACAGCATAGCTGTTGGGTAAACTTGGCAAAAGAATTATTTTTCGTTTAAGCAGTTCTTGTAATAAAAAACTGGCAGAAAAAAACTGCTTTCGTTTGAAGATCTTTTGCAAAATGTATTTTTAAAAAAAAAAAATTGCTAGTTTTCAATTATTCAGTTGTCAAGTAACATTAGGCAAAAATACTTGTATGAGATAATAGGATTTTCTGTATGGAAAATCATTTGATAAAACATGTTATACATTTGTTATGTATTTATTTAAAAATGTAAAGCGCTAAGTTTAAATCAACAAGCCACAGATATGTGTACTACATTTTACCGGACTTCGTTCAGCGGATTGTGAGATATACATACATTTGCACCCCAAAGTGGGTGGGACTACACCTATTCTATTGTTAAGGCGTGCGAATAATTGATTCCGAATTGCTTGTCCAATTCAAAGATTTCGATATTCGCCTTTAGCATTAATGTTTAATTTGAAGTGTGATGATTATTCTATAAGGAACAGTCATTGGGCAGTAACAATTATACTGGCATTTCCCACCGGACGGAGCTATTGAAAACCGCAATGTTAAATTAACTTCAACAATAATTCTACACCGCATCAACTTTACGATATCTTGTCGGTTTTAAAGCATGACCCAGAAACAAAATAACTCTTCCGTCAGCTGGTTTTTGTAACTTGTCATTTGGTGTTTTTACTATCGTATATGGAAATAGACAACCGATAATGAAAGTAACAAAACTTCATTTTCGTTGCACTGTGTCAAATTTGAGCAGAATTGCATTCGAGCATTCGGCTTTTCACGAACTGCTAAATAACGCAGGTACGTTCGTCCTCTCTCAAAATACACATGCATGCATATATATATGTATATACAAAAGTGCTGCTGCAGCATCAAAGTAGATGTACACATATGGATGTGTAGACTCGCTTATGTGTGTGTGCGGCAGCTTATGTGTGAGTGTACATTTAATATTTACGCATTTATTCATTTCAAAACAGAATACCGAAATAATTTTCTTGTCTACGATTTTCGCCGCTGAGCATCTAATCAGTTAGTTGTGCTCAGAGCCTCGATATGGAAAGGATGCGCATCATCCTTAGTTTTTTAATCGCTTGATACTTTTATAAATAACGATAAATTTAAAAAATACGAATAATTAATATTAAAAACAAATAAAAATAATAACAATATATGTAAGTGTTGTTGCGCGACAAAAATAACTGAGTGCGAATTCATTGTTAAGTTCATAAAAAATTATTTAAATCAGTTGGAAATAAAAGCAAAACAGAATTTGGCTTGGCATTCATTAAATTTCTGCTCATGCGTATTTTCCCAAGTCTTTAACTGTAAAAGTGGCGCGTGCCGTCTTTAATGTGAAAATTTTGACGGAAATAAAATTGAAAAAAAAACAAATCCTATGACAGTGTTATTTTTGTATATGTACATATGTAATATTTTGTTCAAATAAGATTACAAACGAAATTGAATACTTTGAACTTTTATCACAAATATGAATAAAAATTTCATGATTTCGAGATCACGTTGCAGTGTTAGTGTTTGAGGTTGATTCCTTATTATCCCACGAGACATCGAGGTAAATACAAAATGAGTAGAAATTTTATGTACATTTGATTCAATGTTACAGTTATATACTTATTTGCGAATGAAACAGCAAAATAGCGAATTCGATAAACTAAAAGGGTAACTACGAATTTTATAGAAAAAGTAAGAAAATATTCCTGAAAATTTTTCTTTGGAAGATTGAGACCTTTCATAGCAAATGTTCTTAGGGGAAACTGTTGTATATCATTTTTTTAGTGAAACTTTCGATATTCGTATATATATATATATATATATATATATATATATATATATATATATATATATATATATATATATATATATATATATATATGTATAATTATGTACATATGTATGTAGTTATGGTACAATGTAAGCACAACAAAAAAAGTATCTTAACATATATTTGGATTGATTAAGTATTTAATTAAAAAAAACGTAGAATCTATATAGTTACATCTATGTATATATATATATGTACACACATATTTAATTATGCAAAATTTTTCCAACCCGCTCTATTATATGTTTATACATAGTATATATAAATTTGAGGGAGAACTAAAACAATAAATATAAAAGCATACATACATATAGACATAATTATGTGTAAATACATATGTATGTACGTATATAGACCGTACTCTCTTGTCATATCCTGCAGAAAATGACACAACATAAGTATCTAACATGTAAACAAATAAACATATACATACATATATACAAACATATGTGCAAACATTAGCAATGCCTTGTTTTAAACAAAATTTATATTAACGCCGTGGCAGTGATTAAATATACCATAATGCTCATTATCACAATTAAAGAAATTGTTATCATGATGGCCACTAAAATTGAAATGGTGAAGATTGTAATCATGCTGACGTCAATCCTTCCTTGAGAAATTACCGCTGCAAACCGACTGACTAGAGATTCAAATTCCTTGCATTTTGTTGGATTTTCCTTTCACAATTTATAATTCCTACCATACATATGTATGTACAAATAGTATATGTATGTTCATACATATGTATGCACATATGAATACTATTCACCACCGATAAGTGTACATATATGCATATGTATATAATATATATTTACTATTTGTATTTATTTATTTAGTCTCTTTTTTTATCGTTTTCTATATGTTTTGTTTTTGTATTTCAAATATTTTATTATTATTACTCCTTTTTTACTTTTTGATGTTAAAAAATAATATTTTCAACTGATGAGTATAAAAATTCCAATAAGTGAGTGATGTAAAAAACGTACTTAGGTTTTCTCTCATTAAAACATAACGTTATATACTCGTATACATCAAGTTTTTCTACATACATACATATCAGATTTTAAGTCATTTATTCAACTTAAAATACAATAATTGGCTAGATTTCGATATACATTCAATCTCATATACATGTATGTATGTACATATGTATGTGATTTAGGTTTGAATGTACTTTGCCTATTTGATGAAACCTCATTTTTCAAAACTGATTAGATTTATTTTAATAACTCTTTAAATGGAACGCGTGTGGCCTGCAATTGGTCCAATAGAAAATCGGAAAAAGTCTAGCCCGAAGGGGAGGAAAGTGGGAAGGATTCGTTGGCAAAAAAAACTACTAAAATAAAAAAAGTTTGCTTTTATTTATGTTATGTGTAAATACATATGCATATATTATATAAGAAAGAATACTGCCAATTTGCCGTTTATATGTTATGTACCTAGGTATGTACAGTAATTTTAAGGTAGTCCTCTTTCTCTTCGCAGTCAGCTTCGTAGCTATCAGAATTAAACGAATTAAATTTTTTCGTGCTATTATTTTTTCTTAAAATAGAATCTACAACTATTAAATAAAAATAAGCATACAAACTTTTATTTTCGGGTATTCCGCAAAAGAAATGATTCTGAGACAGCTACTAACCTAAAAACTTGATTGAGGCGAAAGCTGTTTGAGTTAAAGAAAAGTTTAACAATCAAAATGAATGCTTCCATAATCGGTACGACGCAAATTTTCCTGAATTAAAAAAATAGTTCCTCCATCTAAGGACATTATTGTAATGCTGAATTGTTCTTCCACAGGTTTCCCATCGTTGCTTTATTAATCTTAATCTTAATGATTATGTATGAAAGATAGGATTACGGAATACTCTGTCGTACTCGTTTGAGTCTAAACATTGGACATTTTAAGTATTTGATAACTGAATTTGCCTTTTTTATAAGAAATTTTATTGTACTTAGCTTTTAAAACATTCTTTTAATAAAGCTCTAAGCAGTTTTGAAGTGGCTTAATCTGTATACCTGCATATATTTATATGAAATCGGCTTTCAGAACATGGCAATTCTCGGTTCAAAATCAAAATCAAATTTAAATAAATTGTACAGAATATAGAATGCATTAAGTGAAGTGGAAAACATGCTTGAACACGTAAAGAAGTTTTGTAGTATATTTTGAGACCCATAACCCTGCACTTCATCAAGTAATTGCAAACTTTACGTAATGAGATGTAAAAAATGAAAGAGATTTTTTCTTTATTTGTATATTTTTTTTTATTTAAGTTGTAAAAATGCATCAGAAGCAGAAGACACTGTTTTTTTCAATTTCGAATCAGAGATTTATATGTACATTATGATGTGATTTTCTGTTTGAAGTCTCCAATGGAGCAATCAGACTTAGCAATTGCCTTTAGTTTGCTGCCAAAAATTTTAAATTTCAACCAGCCTGAAACTGTTTTTTGCAATTTAATTTCATATAATTGCAGAAATAAAAATTGCAGTGAATGTCAGCAGTCATTTATCTGCAATTTGATTTCTGAAATCAAATTTTCAATTGCTCGTGCTGCGCTAGCAATTTTTATTTCTCTTGAAATTGCTGTCAAAGGATTAGAGCATGTGAAATAGGCTAACATCCAAAAATTAAAATTTAATATCCATGAAATTTTGTATGTCATGTGTGGCTGCTCTAGAATTTAAATTTCCGAATGTCTTATTTTGTTATGCCATTTGAAAATAAGTAATTGCTTAGTCTGTCTCAAAGGTATAGGGGTATAGGTGTAGGTCTTTAAAAAAACGGGTAAATTTAAAATGGAATATGTATAATTATAATTAAAAAAAAATTCAAGTGTTTCAACATAAATTTTTTTCGCGCGAACTATAACATTTAGCTGACAAAGCACCATAAATCTTTTTCCTTTTTTGTAAACTGTGTTTGGGACGAGGTACATATATTTAAATATACACAAGTATGTGTGTATGTATAGCTAATGCATATTGCTTACCTGCATCACTTTCGTTTTCAAAATAAAACTACTTTTCCTTGGCCTTCAAAATAGTTTAAGTTAGTTTTTAATTGGGTTTGAATCCCTTGTCATTGGATTTCCTCATTTGTGGACATAAGTTTTCATATATCATAATTGTTGAATAATGACATTAGTCGGTTAGCAACATGCAATTGCTGACATTTAGGAACTGAAATTTTTTCTTTCTAAATCACTATTATTTCTTTAATTTTCTTTTCTCAATTCTGCCATTTTGTAAACAAGAAATAAAATTTAAATTTTTTAATCTTCTTTAAAAGCAGTTCCACACATGCATACATACATGCATATGTATGTATGTATGTAAGTATTTATATGAATGTAGGTATGTATGTACGTGTAAGTGCAATATATGTTTGTATATTCGCCACAAAAACGTTCAATTATGTGACAGCGTAGGGGGAGGGGGAGATCTTTTCATTATTCGATTCATACATTTTCAACAATTTATTTCAATATATTTTTTGCGCTGTAATTCACTGTTGCGCATTTGCTAAAAATCCGACAGCGAACCTATCGTTCCCCCACCGACCAAGGCAAGTTCACCCAACGGCGTATGTATTGTATATAGTAGATGTACATATGTAGATAATACATCTCTGCCGTGTGGAAACTTGTATGTAAGTACATATATATATGTATGCATTAATATATAGTACACGCATACATACATGCGGCTCCATCCTGCAATAGCCGATTGAACAGACCACTGTGTTTGAATAATATAGATTTAATTTTTTTATTATATATGTATGTATACATATGTATGTATGTGCATATGTATGCAAAAATTCCCACAAAAAAAGAACAAGAGGCCAAGGCATTCAAAATCGACGATTTCTATAAAAAAACACATTGCTGCCATTTCATTTTCGCGTGCTCTCTATTCGGCTTCCTTTAAACCATTTTTTGCTTCTTTTAAAAATAAATGCTGACGCCGTTGCTGTTACTGTTATTGTTGTCGTTGGCGTTGTTGCTGTCGATTTATATAAACAACAAGTTGCTTTTTCCAAATTTTTCGAAAAATAAAAAAATTAATATTTTTTTTTTGCATTATCCGTTGCATTTTTCTGAAAAAAAGACGATTTTTTTTTTTGTGGTAGAGAGAGAAGAGATCTGAAAATGCATCCGAATACTTCTCTCTGTTTCTGTTCGTTTCACCGCCGACAAAACTTAGGCTATCGCTATCGCCGTCAGCTGTAGAATAGTTGCTGCCAAGCAAAACAACGTGCAAAAAATGCATCCATAAAAATTTTCCATTTCCCATTTCTATCCGTGGCGAGATTTCTTCTGCATCGTCTAAAACGTCTAAAAATTAGCGGCACATGTTTTGATTCTTTGACATACAGTATTGCATTAAAGTAAAGCACAAGCATCGGTTAAAAATACATATGTACATGTGTATGTAAATACATGCATGTACATATGTCCTTTTTGAATTGATACTAAATAAAGGTTCATTTTTTGAAAAAAATTATCCAACATGAACAATACAGAGAATCTATGAAAGGAATCAAATGGGTGTTCTTACATAATGTGCTCGTAAAAAATTGTAAGATCATTTTCCAAGAAAAAATTTAATTTGTAATTTTTAAATTGCCATAATTTAGTTTTAGTTTAATAGCATGTATTTTAGATTTACATACGAGGTCTGTACAAAACATATTGCGACACATACACAGCCCCAGCCCCAGTCCATGAAGGACGTTTTGCTGAGATTGCAGAGATTGCAGAGATATCAACTCAGAAGGGTACACAGCAGATATTCATAAAATAAACACTTTTTATGAAAAACAAAATTTGCGTTATTTTTTGTACAGTTTTCTGTACATGCAAAGCAAATCTGATTTTTTACAGAACAACTAAAATCTTATAAAGGTTCAAAAATTGTTTGTAGCCAAATGGCAACAGACTGAATTTGGTTCTTTGATTTGTTCGGCACTGTAGCAAATAAAAATATACACGTACATATGTAGGTATGTAGGTACAAAAAATTTGCACATAGTCACACAAGTGCATGAACATGTAATAGCAACCAAACGGCAGGGTGCATCATCGGCGGCAAGTGCAAATATTAATTTTACACTTGGCCTTTAAAATGCAAAGAAGACGGACGAGAATTTCAGTGTACTGCACCATAACAATGATTAGTGGGGAGGCGGGAGTGGGTTAGTGGATGCTTATGTGCGGACATACATGCATACATACATACATACATAGTATGTAAGTGTACATCATGTGTGCATATAAAAATGTGTGCATGCTCTAACACATTCGAATATATACATAAGTATGTATGTATAAACAAAGTTTGTGCGAAAAGTGTAACCGATGAGCAGAGTTTTTTCATGTACATACATATGTATTTGTATTGCATTTACTTTGCGAAAAAATCGGAAAAGTCAAAAATTAGATTTTGCTTGAAATTTTATTTTGTTCTTATAGAAAATTACGCAGACCAATTTCTTTAATTTCATAGTGGAGGTGTGACGCGTATTCTTGCAGGCAATTCTTTCCTAATATTCATATGTGAATGTATATAAAGTATGTACGTATGTACATATGTACTTGCTTGCGCCAAGCTTTAACATTATTAACTTAATAGCAATTAATTTTGTTTCACTCCGTAGAGACTTCCGTATTTCCTTGTTTTATTTTCTTAAGTTCTGAATATATTTTTATTGATAAATTTTAGAAATCACATAGTTTAGTTAAAAATCTTCATTTTGCTGTAATTAGTGCATATAAGATTTCTTATAAACGTAGTATTTGAATAATACCGCTAATTTTCTACGTGATTAATATGAAGGGCTTTAAGGCGTTAATCCACAGTCCCATGCTAAGCACCGGCTGTTACATACATATGTATACATATATATAAATAGATATGTATGTGGCATGTATGTATGTCGTTGAGCCGATATTGTAGGTATACATGCCGAGTATTTCTTCATTTCTTCTTAAATGCTGTATTAAACTAACTAGTAATTTAACAGTATATTTCAAGTAAATTACATACATACTATGTATGTACATATCTTTTTCGAATGCATTCTCTGGAATTTTATAGTATTTTCATATTTAGCAATTTTAAATGTTTTCAACATCATTCCTGAGGATACCGGTTTCCAGGTTTAGCTTTTTTAAAAATAATTTTCTCAGCCCTGAAAAGGATATTTTAAGGCACAAACCCAGCACCGCCTCCAATATTTTTATGGTATATGACAAAAATATTAACTAAACGGGATCATTTATATAAACCTTCTGTGACATACATCGGTAGCTTGCCATAGACATGCGTCGGTTTTTGTCTCAAGGATAACTTTTGTCCTCAATCGGTCGCATTGTTCTATTCCAGAGCGAGCATGAAAATACGCGTGTGGGTACAAAGTAATTTCTAAAAACACATAAAAAAAATTTAAAGTAAAAGTTTGAAGAATAGTAAATACAAAGACGACAGTAAATAAAGGCAAGTTAACGCCTTTTACTCAAAAAAAAAAAAAAAAAAGAATAAATAAATGAAAAAAGAATTGTTGGTGAGAGCATTGTACTATTGTACATATGTACTTTGTACTATTATACATATGTACTATATGTATGTGTATTTCAGTATATACCGCGCTACTACATAATTGTACATATATATTTAAATTTTTGACATAAAATTACGGTATAGTAGCAATAGAATTCCAAGTTAATCATGTCTGGAATTCGAATACCAAAATATTTCGGATTCGCTTCAGTAAATATTTGTTTCATTTTTCCAGAATTTCGAAGGTCGAATTTGGCGGATTAAACGCTTGTGTCTTTTATTACAATTGTTTCGGGCTACCTGGGATACGGAAATATACAAACGTACCATTTCTGTGTTATTTTCCATTTAACTGCTCGTATTTTGGGAAGCAATAATAGAGCGCGTGAATGGCTTAAGGTCACTTTCGACTTGAAAACGCGTACATGCATGTATACCTGTATGGCGTTTAGGAATTTGCATAAAAGGATGCAAATGCTATTTTTGTGTTCAGTATAAAATAGTCCTTACCATAGTGCAAATCGTCATCAGGAAAAAATTAAAGTGTACGCGCATACGTTTTTAAATACATGTAAATATTATATTATAAAATAAACTAAACTCCATTTTTAAACGGCAAAACAACCCACCAATCATAGTGCAGAACGTAAAAAAAATCAAGCCATCCAACCATTATAATGGGAATATATGTATGTATACATACATATTAAAAAATAACATAAAACCGTTTTTTATTGTTACGTGCATACTTACACATACATACATATGTATATCTGTATGTGTATGTATGTACATATATCAGCTTATTACATAAGCATTTGTGCAACCCCGGAAAGTGGTGCTCTACCCTTCGGCATAGCACATCAAGCATAAATAAGGCGCTTATATATTTACCTACTTTATATAAATATACAAATCCATGTGTACATACGTTTGTGTATAAGTATACTATGCACAAATACGCAAAAATATCGTTATAATAGTGCAAACGATTACAAACATAAGAGGAGTATGTACATACATACATCCATACATAGGCACATGTATTGCTAACCCTCGTCAACATCCCATCGAAACAAATACGAAAAAACTCCCCTTACTGTTGTGTACGCCTGCTAAAAATGGCAGTAAATTTCGATTTTTATGGCCTTTTTGTCTTACTTTTTGCGAGCTTTTTGCGCGAATTCATATCTAAATCCACAGAAATGGGAGCAAAATATGAACTTTGCCGATTTTGACAACGTCACTGCCAGACTCTTCTAATATTGCTAAGTAAATATGTTTTTATCATCGTTCTAGCACACATATTTGTATGTATGTGTGTATGTATGTATGTATAAAAACGAACGGCATTATGGCGTTGAGAGTTTTATTACACACCCCATTCCTAAAGAAAAGAGAAAAGAAAGATTTAAATTGCTTTCTACATGCAGGAACAACGATATAAGGGTGGTAAAAGCAAAAAAAAAAAAAAAAAAAAAAAACAGAATTGAGAAAAATAAAAAGAAAAAAAAAAAAAAAAAAAAAAAAGCGCAGTAAGCGTGTCAAGAGTGGAATTATTAATTTTCTACAGCTTTGTGTACTTTTGTTTAACAAAATTGCTTCACGTTCCCCGTTGTACTCTACTAATTATAATTTCCTTTTATTCCTCATTACAGGCTACATAGATTGAAAATAGCTAGTGAAAATTTGGCAAAAAAATGCAAAATTGGGACACCATGCAGACTACCTCAGTCAACTACGAGCAACATAACAAATGGTACAATAATCTATATACTAATGCAAGTATCAAGACCGAGCCTGGGAGCGAAAGTCCATCGTTGGAACATCAGCTAAGGTCACCAGAGTCCAATGCTGATATATTATCACATTTAGAAAGTTATTCGAAACAGCATTCGCAAGCGTCTCATCAAATGTCTACAATGGACTTGCTATCAGCTATGACACCGTCACCTAGCAACACAGACAGCATGCAACATATATTTGATGGAAATATACAACAACAGCTGGTACAACAACAGAAGTACCAACAGCATTTTCAACAAGCTCAGGAAGCTGCCGCACAGCATCAGGCGACGTCTTCACATTTACCGCTGGGTTTCAATCCCCTTACGCCGCCAGGTCTACCTACGGCAGTTTTACCATCAATATCGCAATTTTTCCATCAACAATCACACAACACCATACAAAATGGACCACAAACACCAAGTCCTCAACCACTCAAAGCACATATGGTGACGCCTTTGAATTCGAACGAGAAATTGCAAGCGGCTTTAACGCCACGCAATACCCCACCAATGGATATAACTCCACCAAAATCGCCAAAAAATCAAACTACAGTAGAAAAATGTATTTCGTTAGAGAAAGATCAAGATGCGCAATCAAATTCTAGCGACGACATAAAATACAATGGCGAGTCGGAGGATGACGAATCAATTCGTTTACCTATTTTCAATTCTCATGGTAAAATGAAGAACTACAAGTGTAAGTCCTGTGGAGTAATTTCGATAACAAAAGTCAACTTTTGGGATCATGTGCGAACTCACATGAAACCTGAAAAAATTCTGCAATGCCCCAAATGCCCCTTTGTAACTGAGCTGAAACATCACCTCGAATATCACTTACGCAAACACAAAAACCTGAAGCCATTTCAATGCGATAAGTGCTCGTATACTTGCGTCAATAAGTCGATGCTGAACTCTCACCGCAAGTCTCACTCTTCCGTCTATCAGTATCGTTGCTCGGACTGTGATTATGCCACCAAATATTGTCATTCATTTAAATTACACCTACGTAAATATGACCACAAGCCGGGTTTGGTTTTAGATGAAGAAGGCATTCCAAATCCATCTGTTGTAATCGACGTGTATGGCACACGTCGTGGGCCTAAATCAAAAAATTCCACTGCAGTCAGTAAGCGGAGCAACAGTACTAATAGCAAAAATACCAATGAACGGTCAACGGCAAAATTAGGACAAATTCCAAACAACGGCACAGATTACAAAGCATGTGCATCTCAGCTTACAGCGGCTCTGCAGTCATTCTCAATACCGGCTCATCATCACCATCATCAGATGCCTGTTTCTCCGGCAAAGAGCCCTAACACACTATCATCTGACTCGCCAGCGGTTTCACATGGTTCTTCACAACAAAACCAACAAGAACATAAGCCACAACAATTGCAGACTGTAGTGCAAAAACAGTCACTGAAGTCAAACCAAACGGGTCAAAATGTTCAAGCCACAACAGCCGATTCTGCTATTACAGACATGGAGGCCATGACAAATATATTCCCGCCACTCGCTACTATTTTTCAACAAAACACCAACACCATGGCATTGTTTCCGTACTGGAATTTAAATTTGCAAATGCTGGCAGCCCAGCAACAAGCCGTGGTTCTTGCACAAATGTCACCTAGCTCGAGAGAGAAAGCATTACGACGGCTACATAATATTCATTCAAACAAAAGTGCTTATGATCCGATAGATGTGAATGATGAAGATGAAGAAAGTGACATCGATCGGAAATCAACAGATTCAGCAATGGATCTTTCACAAGGTTCCCCCCTTAAAGACGACGCCGATATTCAAAAAACTCCAGCTTATTTAAGGCTTCAAGATGAATCTAGCGATACGCCGACTGTTAGTACTAACTGCGCTATAAAGCGAAAGGGACGCGTATTGAAACTTGACGCGATTTTACAAGTGAAGTCTTCTTCACAGTCCCCTGAAGGAAAAGAATCAAACGATGATCAAATGGCAAACAATAACGAACAATCACCTCATGTTCCAATCCCCTCCACTTCTGATACCACGACTACTCAACCAGAAGAGAGTTTAAAAGAATGCGATGAAGTCATGAATAATGTGGTATCAACGGTTAAGGATACTGGCACTAGTTCCACAGCCTCATCGTCTGGTAATAGTTCAAATAGCTCCGCAACTTCTTCAGCAACGACTACAAACGGTCCCTCTGCTCTTGGCGCTATGTATGAGTGCAAATATTGTGATATTTACTTCAAGGATGCTGTACTCTATACTATTCACATGGGCTATCATAGCTGTGATGACGTCTTTAAATGCAACATGTGCGGCGAAAAATGCGATGGACCTGTTGGACTCTTTGTTCATATGGCACGAAACGCGCATTCATAAGTTGAGCGTTGCAATAGGTGGCGAATTTCAATCTTGCTTACCATGATTGATGTAAAATTTGTAAATAATATTGAAGTTTTAATCGCAAAGTGTTAGTGAAATGTAAATGGCAGGGTTATGATATTTTTATGTATTATTTATAGGTAAAAAAAAAACTTAAATACCAATCCTCCGGAAGCATTTCTGACCTAGATTTCGTAGAGTCCCTAAAACTCATAACAAAATATAAAAAATGTATACATATTTCAAATTAAAATTATAAAATATAAACATTAATGTGTAATGGAATATTGTGCACAATATTCATATATATATATATATATAACTATTATTTGCTTTAAGTATATAACTTAATTTAAAATTATTCTTATTTATTACATATACATTTTATAAATTAATAAACACCACTGTAAAATATTACAAAATTGGTTGCTTTCCTAGATAGTTATTGCGTTAGTCCTTTTAATAATTATGGAAATTTCGTCCCAATACTCTCGAGAGAATATAGTCCCAGAAGCCAAAAACAGTTATTGTTCAGCAATTAATTTATATATTCCTATATTTATGTATCTGTTTATTAAATTTAGTACGAAATTTGCTTGCATTCAAGCGAATTTCTTTTATTTTTTTTTGTTGTTTAATACATAGTAATATGCATGCAAATACATATACGAGATATGTTAGTCAGTTACATTTAGCCATATATGTATGTACAAGCATGCTCAAAATTGTAAACCACCACATTAATTTTCTCAATAAAAACCATTAATTTATTTATATGAAATGGAATGCTTTTTTTCGAAAATAAATTATTTTTTGTTTTCGTTCAAACTATTTTTATAGGCAAAAAGTGAAAAATAGTAATTCAGCCATGCTGCACAAAGTAGAAGAACGTACTAAAAGGAAAATCAAAACAAAGAAATAACAATTTCGTTTTTGACTCTTGTCATTTTAATGAATGATTAAAATTTCACCTAGCTATAAATTTGTTATTATAATCTTACACATACATACACATATTGTTAAACGTTGAAAATGAAGTGTGCTGTAAAGTCATAGCAAGCACCCAATTACAAATTAACGTTATCGGTGAGTTTGTGCGGTTCCAACATCAACAATTTAATTCTGTTTTGATAACATGCACTGAAACGAAACAAAATCATTTTTCAAAATAACAAAACGAAATGACATTTTTGGATGTTGATCGAACCAGGACTCGAACCCCGGACTTCAGAATGGCAGTATGCAGTGCTGACCACTCGACACAACTTAGATAAATATATATTCATATATTGATCATCTATAACTGGCCTGTTTCTAAACGAGATTGGTGATACCGCAACAACAACAACAACAACAACAACAACGTCCGTCCATTAACGAAATAATGCATACCATATTTGCAAATTCCAGTTCATTCTCCGAAAACACCAAAAGTGAAAATGAATATCATGAGAAGTGTTTCAACTCTGAAGTCCTCTCGGCGGGTGTCATTATTTAAAGATTACAAAATTCAACGAAATTTTTTTTTCAACACGAATGGTTGTTGAAAATCCGTTTGGGCTACTGAAAGACCGTTTCCAGATTTGAGGATGACTACCAACAACATTTGCATAACTTGTGGATTTTTACAATGTTGTTAGGGGTCCAACGACAAAATACGAGTATGCCTGCCATGAGAGGCGGCTAAAATCTAATAGTTACTGCAACAGTCGGGTCTTTATACCGGAACGACCCGGATTTTCATCAGATGACTGTCACTCCCGCGAAATACAATATTTTTGCGATTACAACAACAGCCACATGCGACCCCCTCTGTTCTCAAAGAGGAAATTGATACATTGATACAAGACACAACGTTTTTAATTATTTACGACAACGAAATATTATTTTAAACACAGTGTCTATATATTGTATTTGTAAACATATTTGAAAAAAATCTTAGCTTAACGAAAATTCAATCAACATTTTGATAATTAAAAAAATTTTTTAAGTCTAATAAAAACCAGGTAATAATAAATATCAATGGCTATCTCAACATCAAACTTTCTCTACGCAGTCTGCTTTCTTTTTTAATACTACTTCCATCGCCCGCAACTTATTTTGTTTTAACTTGCTTACGATAGTGACGGTTGCAGCAGTGCCGATGTAGATGGTACGATGCAGGTGGAAGCACTACACTTTCTGACGGTACTTCAGGCTGCGTGGACGATGTGGCCTTCTGCCAAATATCTCTTCCGTTACCTTGATAATTGAAGCAACATGTGGTTTTAATAGACGTGATTTTACTTATTGATCACTTCTAATTCCCATTGAATTTTGAAATTTGACTGAAATTTCCCAACAGTTGGCCAATAACTACAGTATCACATTTTACTTTGCCACTCTAGTCAGATTAGGTATTGTTTCAGAGATTTCAACTCAAACCGATTAAATAACACATGTTGAGTACTTTGTGTTGTTGTTTTTATGGTAATTGATACAATGGTCTTTAACACGTCGTGTGCCAAAGAAAAGTCCTTTATAGAGGAAAAATTTATACGCCTTTAAGATTTGAGAAAATTGTATCGTAATCTTCCAGTACTTGTCTAACTGATTTTCATGCTAAAACCAACCGTAATTGCAATGGTATTAAGAAAAAGAACTCTACTGAAAAATTTAGTTTTCGTAGCTTTATATACAATATATATATATATGTATAAAAGTATGTAACATTGCAACATTTACAATATATATATATATAATAATAAAACTTAAGTAATAAATAAAAGCATACATAAATAGTCGAGTTCCAAAACGTCAAAATAGTTTGTAATGATGCGGTTACGAAACCCTGCTTTCTATAAATTTGCTTTGCAAACACTGACATTTTGACACGCTTTTCGTGCAAATAAGTTGCTTTTCGGTGAAATGACCAAAATGTGAAATAGATCAAAAAAATAATAATATAATATTAAAAGAAAAAATTAGCGCAAAAAACTTGGGCTCCTCTGCAACTGACGCTTTGGAACTCAACCATACATACATATATACATACATATATGTTTGTATATGAATTACTGAAAAAAAGCGCAAAGACATAATCTCGTCAAGATCATTTATTTGAAACTGCTTACACATATGATTCGGCTATAGTAACATCTACTATGTGTATTACCCTTAAATGTCAAAGAACCTTCGTTTATGAAATAATCCGCAAATCAACCCACTGGATAATGGCCTTGGTAGGAAAGGCAAATTATTGCGAATTAATGATTGTCTAAATAGGGAGAGTTGGAAAATGCCTGTAGCATCAAGCAGAGCTGTTTCTTAAAGATGCCGCGCGGCCTTGTTGAACGCTTCCAGTTGATAACTTAAAGCTAAAAGAAAAGGGGTTTAATTTTCTTAAAGTGGAGATAATTAAAACGCTAGTCGCTTATGCATCGGAAATACTTTGTTCTAAATAAATCATAAAAATTGGTTAAATACTTGTTGAATTAAGTTTTATAAAAATGCTGCGTGTTTGTCTCGCCAAAGCTCGCAGATGGATTGGCCGAATATGTGGAAATTCATAGAACGTTTAATAGACCAACCTATTCGAAAAAAAGTTATTTATGCTTAGATACCCGAAATTTGGTGCTACTTGAAAAAAAATGAAAACAACCTTTTCTACGAGAAGTGTACCCGGGACCGACGTATTAAATAAATCATATTTAAATTAGATTTACTTCAGATTACGCAATAGCCCATTGGCTTGCCGAATTTAATTTAATTCTGGCAGCTCCTGGACAAATAATTTCAACCACTTCGAGTGTATCTCAGAAACATGAAACCTTTCACAGGCAGCTTATAATAAACTGCAGGTCTCTTCATTTCATTTCTCCTCAGGATCAGATCATTTTGAAGAAATTTGTTATTAAACTGAAGTTTACGGGTCAACTCGGTTAAAGTTGTATACGAAGGTGCCTTTATGTTTCGATGTATATAGATCTTTTACTTTCCGTGAACAGACCAGGATTTACATAAAACATAGTACGCTGATAAAGGATCACAGATCAATAGATCGATGAAAATATGTTAGGTTTAGTATACTGCAAGCTTTTTTATATGCTTTTACGGATAAAAATACTGCATTCGCATTTTCCTGGAAGATTTTGAGAAGCAAAAAATGCAAGGCTTAATAACAATATTCTGATTTTCCTTACCTACGGAAAGCCACAACCACGTGTGACGTCTAGAAATGCATATACTTTTGCAATAAGAGATTTCATTTCGATATTTAAAGAAATATGAACCACTCAGTGCACATATCGATTAACTCCACTTTAAAAAAAATCTTAATTTTAAGTGTCTGAGCCTTTAGTGTAGTCATAACTTTTTATATTTATAATAACTTTCCTGCTGAATAAAGATTAGCAGATAAATGGCAAATTTTTCGGGCCATTGAATAATAAGTAATTTATTTCAGAAGCCATTTTGAATACCTCAAAATTCTAATGTAAATCATTTCAGTAACATTTTATCTGTTCTGTAGTTTCATTCTTCTTCTTATTAACTTTATATACCGTGAGATGAAAGCTCTGTCTGCAACTAGGCATTCTACAATATATTATATATTTGAGTTCATATTATAAGAGGAATTTTTAAAAACAATATACATTTCATCATCACGTTTCTCAACTTTTCGTTTAATGGAGTTAATCGATGTGTGCACTGTGCGGCTCATATATCATTTTCGAGATAAACGATCCGATTTTCATTTCAATGTAAGGGGAAAATATGCCATTAATACAGCCCTACTCTCACTGTTACCGGTAAAGTAAATTTTGTTACTTTTTGTAACACCCCAAATTGAATTTGGTATTCTGACGAACTGGTTGCAATGTTTGAGAAAACTTGGGCAGCATTGCTTTTTTCATTACATTTTCCAGTTGGTAAAGTAAAAATAAAAATATTCACATAGAAATGGAAGACGATGCACAACAAAATAAATAAGTTTTATTTATTTGTTTATTAAATCATAAATATTTGAACCTAATTATGGAAAATATGCCTGGATAACAAAAAGAACTGAATCAAAACGTTATCGTACAAATTAATAGGACTATTTTTTGTCTCGAAAACTTGTTAAAAACACATTTTTGCACTTTTTTCTTCATCTTCAATGAATTCCAGGCCGAAATTATGCCTACCCATTTTGGTTTTTATTTTTTCTCAAACTAACAGCACAAAATCAAGCAGCAGATTATTTTGTTACCTCCTATTTCGTTGATAACAAAATTTACAGGGTGACAGTGAACTCAGAATACGAAATAGTGACAAACTTTACTGAATGGTAAATTTTAATACCAAAGTAAATTTTGTTGCCTCGACAGAAAGGCCGGATAATGGAAAACAATATCAGCCAAACGACCGACACGGCAACGCTTACAGGATCGTATCCTTTTTAGGAAATTGTTCATCACCAAATCGCAAAGCGGCTGATGTATGCCCTCAATAGCTTCACGTATTCCATCTTAGAGTTCTTGAACCGACGTTGATCTGACTTCGTAGATCTTATCTTTCACGTGAGATAAAGGCATCAAAGGCATCTACCTAAAATACTATTGAAAATAAGACCTCTTATTAGAAAACCCTACATTAGCCACCTTCGCATGGCTGATGGATTTTTATTGTATAAGAAGTATGCCAGATGCCACAAAAACACAGTCGGCGGGGTTCCCTGCAAAGGGGCGACCACAATTTAAATTCTATCATTTTGGATATATTGATTGATATTGATTGATATATTGACGAACTCAT